GAGCACAAATTGTAGCATTTTCTTGTTACAATTGCTCATGTCACCTGTTATATAACTGTGAATAAGAAGATATTCATTTTGTGAAATTGTGTTTGCAAGGTTCATTAATAGATATCTAAGTAAGCAAATAGCCCCCCTAGAACTTTAAAATGTTACAAGAGCATACACAGCAATTAAATACTCCATAAAAATGATAACACCTAGCAGTAGTGTAAACAATCTTACCATATAAAAATGCTAGCCACATAAAGTGGAGTGGCAGTTCCTAACTTCCAAAGATGCACTCACTGACACAATTCTGGCTTACATCCACTCCTGAATTCCTGCAGGGATGTCATAATTCACAGGGACTCAGGTGGCAAATTCCAAACCACTGAGGCAAGAACACAACAATGTATTTTTCAAATTCATTCAAGCCAACTGCTTTAACAGTTGACACCTTGAGAAGAGCAGTTCTGGATGATCTCTTTTGTCTTGGGTGTTTATATTGGTAGAGGCAGTCCAGTAGGTATGTGAGTCCCAAACCATGTAGGACTTTAAAAGGAATAACCAACACCTTGAATTGAATCCAGAAAACTACTGGCAATGAAAGCAGCTGGCACAGGATAGATGTCATATGATCCTGATATGAAGTACAGTGGTGCCCCGCTTGACGGGGATAATCCGTTCCAGCGAAATCGCTATAGAGCAAAATCCTCGTCAAGTGAAATAAAAAAGCCCATTGAAATGCATTGAAAACCGGTTCATTGCATTCCAATGGGCGAAATACCTCAGCGTCCAGCAAAGATCCTCCATAGGGCGGCCATTTTCCAATGCCCGTGCAGCAAAAAATCCGTCCTGAACACAGCGGGAAGCCATTTTGAACAGCCGGTGGCCATTTTGAAAACCCGACAATCAGCTGTTTTGATTGTTGTAGTGTAAAGAACCGGTTCCCGAAGCAGAGGACCAACTGTCGTAAAGCGGATTTTGCCCATTAAAACATTGTTTTGCGATCGCAATAGCGATCGCAAAAACATCATCATGAAGCAGGTTCATCATCAAGCGGGGTAATCGTTAAGCGGGGCACCACTGTACCTGTTCATAGCCTAGCTACCACACATTGTACCAGTTGTAGCTTTCATGTTGTCTACTAAGGTAACCCCCCAACAAAGAGAATTACAAATGAATCTTCTCTAGTTGGGATTAAGAATTGGATTTCACGCCTTCTATTTGAAACTCACTTAAATCAGAGTACCATTATAAACAAAGAGACAAAATAAAGTTTGTTTCTTCCAGCTTGATGCATTCTTGGAATAAACTTTGGAGAAATGAATTGCTTTCAGAAGAGAGGGTCCCTGGTGTACTATTAAGGCCAGTATAACCTAACTACACAATGGCTCATTCCACCGTTCTCTCTGCCTACCCCTCTTTTCTTCTTTTCTTTCCTAGATCGGTAATTCACAAACTGTGGAAGCAAATACCACCTCTCACCTGTAAACCTTACACCAGTTCCGTGGAATTGTTGGGAATCTATAGTTTCTCTCCAATAAAATGGCTAAGCCCCCACCACCTCCACCTGTTTTTTCCCCAATACTCAAATAAAGCCATAGTTTATTTTCCAAATGCATATAATCAAATGAATTTGTCATCGACTGACTATAATTTTACTTACAGATGCAGGCAGCTGCAATCAGCCTTACTGCTCCATAAGGTGGCTCGCAAAAGGGAAATATTGGTTGAACGATGTAATTAGCAAAAGTGATGGCTATGACAGCCTGAGTGGTGGGTTCAATAATCAGCAATGAAGACCAAAGTCTGATAAAGGCTATAAAACCTCCAAAGGCTTCCAGGATGTAGGCATAGCTTGCACCTGATTTAATAATGGATGTCCCCAGTTCAGCATAGCACAGGGCTCCAAACAATGAAAAGATCCCACCGAGGGCCCACAGAAGGAGAGAGAGTCCATACGAGCCACTGTACATCAGAACCCCCTTGGGAGAGACAAATATCCCTGAGCCTATCATGTTCCCTACTATTAAAGAAATGCCATTTAGCAAAGTGATTTCTTGTTTCATCTGCATTTTTTCCTCCTTCTTCTCTGCCACCAAGTCCAATTCTTGTATGCCATCATTCAGGAGGTTCTTTTTCTTGCAACACGTTGTCCAAGAGCCCGTCATCTTTAGTTAATCATTACCTGGAAATGGGAAGAAGGAGAGAATGTTTGTCCGCAATAAAAAATAAACCCACAGGGCACAGTCTTAAAGGATGGAGGTGGAAACAAGCAACACTATAGCATAAACGTGTAGCTACATTGGGAGTAGCCCCTGGATACTTGTATGACTACCACAGACTGCCTCTGGCCACACAAGACATTATGTGGCAGTAACACAGGGTTTATTAAGTATCTAGAGACTACTTGCAACTATAACTGAAGACAAACATTCAGGGAAATGTGTATTTCTCAGGTTTATTATCATTTCAGTCCAGCAAAATAATCTTTTGCTATTTGTGTTTTAGCAATCAGATCTGGAAAGAAAGCTCATGTTTAATTCTAATTATCAACCACACATCTGCTATTAGCATATGTTTAAAATCATACACCATTTGCCATTTGAGGGAGTACTGCTTCTAGGTACAGAGTCAGCATATTGTCTAATTTTGCCTAACATAGTAATGCAGTTACTGCTGCCACTAATTACTGTGGCTACTGTGAGATTCTTACACCATAATTCTCTGATCTATACATACTCAAAATACGATTCACCATCTGTGCTCACTAAGGTATACTCATAAGATCATAATCAAACAAGACTACCGCAATCTACTCCAAAATAATTTCCACTTCTCTCCATCAGAAGTGATGTTCCAGAGCAAAAGGATGGCATCAGCACTTAGACTGACACTGCCAGCTTGGGTAGCAGCAGTGCTGCTGTTTTTGTGGTTGGAACATTTAGGAAGAGCAACAGACATTGCTTTCCATTTTCATGCCATGCATCTCACCATCATATTCAAAAAAGGGTTTACCCCTAGCCCCCATTCCCAGCAACTCTCTCCCTGTGCAAAGCAGCACTGTGGTGGGTGGGACTTCCCCTTCAAGTACACAGACATGAGATAGGCAAGGGGGAGAAGGCTGAGGGGACTCAGGTAGGCACTATTTCAGAAGCATGTGACACTGAAACCATCCTTGCCCCCCCCCCCAGTTGCACTTGCCTCACCAGTTGCCAGAACTAGTTAGCAATGACAAGTCGGCAATCCTTGTTAGGAACATGCAGTCAAAAACTGGCACTCCCAAGAAGTTAATAAGCTGGAAGCTGAAGATGCAAAGAAGATGCCCAAGTGTGGGCAAGAATTGGCCACTTCTCCAGTAGTGGCATGATCAGCCACCTGAAGACTTGGTACAGGGCATTGCTGTTGGCAAATGAAGTGGGTACTGTAGGGGCAAATAGTTCCCTTATTGTGAGAGGCAGAGGTTGGCCTCTAGCCCAGGGAAGCAGGGTGGCAGATTGACAAACAGCAAGAGATGGGAGGCAACAAATGCCAGACACACCCCTCAAGAGTTCCAGAGTACCCTGAAGATGCTTGGAGGGGTGCAGGGAAAGGCTTTCTGCAAACATAAAAATGCTCAGATCACTCGTCACCTCAAGGGAGATGATTGCCCTCAATGACCAGTTATTCTCTCTGGTGGAAACACTGGTTTCCATAGGTTTGTGGCAGAACTGGCACCCCTATTACCAATTGTCACCCAAAATGACCCTTAGCTGAAGGATGATGCCAGATATATGTCGAGGTGTTGGGCAACTGGTATAGCAGCTGTTGGCCAGGTGATACACTAACAAGTGATATTGAATGCAGACAGGGTGCAAAACACCCCTACCTTTCCCTGACAGGACATTGATGGGAGGAGGAGGCATTAGGCATAGGGCAACACACAAGGGCAGGATACAGGTGGGCCCTGTTTTGATGGAGGGGAGCCACACAGCTCACAACATTCAAGAAGCTCTGAGGGACATGCTGTAACAGTGGTGTCTAGCTAACAAAAAGGAAAGATCTATTTGTCACAGGCCATGGGGCAAACATGGGGGCATCACTGCAGGCTGGGAAGATGAAAGTGATGCAGTGTATGGCCTACACCAATGGTCCCCAACCTTGGGCCTCCAGATGTTCTTCGACTACAACTCCCAGAAGCCTTCACCACCACCTCTGCTGGGCAGGATTTCTGGGAGTTGAAGTCCAAGAACATCTGGAGGCCCAAGGTTGGGGACCACTGGCCTACACCCTCAACCTAATATTTCAGAGTGCTTTGCAGGGCATGGAAGATACCTGCATACCTAATATAATTAAGTGGGCCAGAAAGGTGGTGAAGCATTTTCACACATTGACCAAAGCAATGAGCTGTTACAGCAGAGGCAAGAAAAACTGGGATTGCCACTGCATCACCTAATCCAGGATGTGGCAACTTGACGGAACTCCACTTTCTATCCACTTGATTTGGAACTGGAGATTTCCATTGGTGCAGCTGCTCCTCTGGACAGGGAAGAAGGAGACATTATGGGTCAAATAGTCTATGTCCTCCAAAGCTTTCAGAGCACAACACAAGCCCTTAGTTCGGGAGATATATGTCGAGGTGATTCCAATGTTTCAGGGTGAAACACCCTTGGGCCCTCAGCTCTCAAAATATTTTTAAATATTGTTTTTAAATTGGTTTTAAATTTGTAAACTGTCCAGAGTAGACCTTTGGTCTAGATGGACAGGATAGAAATCCAATAAACAAACAAACAAACAAAAAACAAACAAACAAACAAACAAACAAACAAACAAACAAACAAACAAACAAACAAACAAACAAACAAACAAACAAACAAACAAACAAACAAACAAACAAACAAACAAACAAACAAACAAACAAACAAACAAATAAATAAATATTTTTTTCTCTTGGGAGTGTGGGTGGCAGTTCTGCTATGTTTTAAGGAGTCACACCTCATAACCTTCCATTTTAAATTAATTTTTTGACTATTAATGGTGGGATTCAGCATAACACAATCTCTTTTTTAAAAGTTAAATGCCACTTTCTCTGTTCACAAAAATCTACTGTAGCAACCTGTATGATATATAATTGCTCAATAAAAAAATTGTAAAGCATGGTAATCAACCACTGACCACATCTCTCCCATTTAATCTGCCCATTGGCAAATCAGCAAATCCGAAAATTGGCCTTTGACTCTTCTGTGACCTCCCATCCCAGCTACAGAGCATGCATGGGTGGAGAAGCTTCAGTCTGGTTTATTCATTTTTCAGCCTAGAGCCAAAAACTCCCTGAGAGAATCTTGTGCAAAAAAGAAACAAAAAAGCATTTGAATGAAAAAAAACCACACACAACACTTTTAAATAAGGACATTGTTTTGGCAGAGGTCCCCAACCCCTAGTCCGCGGCCTGGTGCTGGTCCGTGGCCTGAGCTGGACTGAGCAGACGTCCCGGCCCACCGCACACATTTACCCTCGCATAGCTGATTTGCGCCTGTGCGAGCACCACACCACCATTTGCGCATGCGCATGAGCGTCGGGGGTGCCCCCAGCCAGTCTGTGGGGTGAGAAAGGTTGGGGACCCCTGGTTTTGAGGATCAAAAGTGAACAGCACTCTGGTGCCTCTTGTGCTCATCCTTAGTTTTACTCATTTGAGCACCATAATTCAGGTCAAGGGATGTGAAGTCATTTTGTTGCTTCTTTTGTTAAATTGGCAGTAGAGAAGAGCACAAACTGCCAGTTCATCAGTCCGTAGTGTTCAGTGGTTGCCAGACCTGTCTCCTCACCTCCTCCAGGCACAGACTTGGATGCTTATCAGAGGAGGCAGGGCTGGGAAGCACTGAACACTTGTTCATCCGTAGGATGAATCAACACGAACTGCTGCTTCTGCAGTTCATGCCCATCTCTAATTGGGAGTCAGAAAACTATCCTGATCTATTGCAAAATACCTTCTGTCTATGCCTGCCAATAATTCTGGGCTTGGGCATGTGCATTACATATATTTGGCTGAATAGGATACAGGTCTGTCACTAAAGTATAACTACAGATTGCTGTAGCCTCTCATAACTGTAGTTAGCACTAATTTTAGGATTATTTGATAATTATATATTGGCAGAGAGCATCAGCATGGGCTCAGATTGTGATTGCTAAAGAGTAGTAATTAATCTGCAGAGTTGTATTAGGTAAAAAAAAAAGCAGAGAACAAAGAACCCTAACCATGTAGAGAGAAGCACCTGTGCAGGCTTTCATGCATGCAGACTTGAGGGCAGATAATTCTGCTTTTCTCTGGTTGAGATAGAGAAAGATGAAACAACCTCAACAATTAGGAGGGATGGGTATATTAAGGCTCTCAATTTACTTGTGAATCTAGAAACACAAAGAGGGGAAAGCACCCAGCTTTTTTCCAATTTTCACTTCCTTTTTATTCAGATCACCTGCTACATGTCTAAGTGCTCTCTCTAATAAACAACCCAGTTTGTGCCCATGTCAGTGTAATGCATAACCTAACCTCAATAAACCAAGGATCTGCTTCAGACTGAAGAGATCTGATCTGCACATATAGTTCCAGTCTTTCACCTCCTTCATTTTAATGACCAGAACAGTTACATGCATGAATCTGTGCCTTCCAGTGGAAGGAAGAAATTCGGATATTCAAGTGCTATGGGCAGTTATCAAAGCATACATTGGACTTAGGTAGGGTATGTGGGTAGGTAATTCCATCCAGAACAGTTACATGCATGAATCTGTGCCCTTCAGTGGAAGGAAGAAGTCCAGATATTCAAGTGCTATGGGCATTTATCATAGCATGTATTGGACTTTAGGTAAGGGTGTGTGGGTAGGTAATTCCAAAGAAGAATGTGGTTATCAGAACATTTGCAGATCAGAACCTCTCTCATTCTTTTATTGTTACAGCTGAACTCATGGTGGATCAAGTTGTTTTGATGCTTTCCCTTCTCTCTTTTGTAGTGTCTGCAAGTTTGAACACTGGAATAAATGGTGCCTACTCCCTATGTGCTCAAATAGAGTTCAATTGCTGTCATCTCTGATTTTGCTGAGCTCTCTCTATTGATAGTCATCCTGATGCCAAAAGGAATCCACTGACTATCTTACATAATCAAATTTGCACTCAGATCCTTCAACAAAAGCAGTCAAGGATCACTAACTTGACAAGCCAAAGAAGATGGAATCAAGTGAGTAACTGGATTGTTGACAGGGTGACTGTATTTGCTCATGTTTCTTGGAGAGCACCCAAAGTAGTCAAGTAGCAAGGTCTAACCTTGCATAAATACAGTATGACATGCCACTCTCCTCCTTTTCACTAAGGGAAATGGAATCTTAGACCATGGCTACTAACATAAACATGTGACAACTGTTTTGATGTCTCAGAAGGGTGAAAAATATATTGGGTCAGGATGACCCTTCCGAAACCTCAAGGAACTCTTGGAGTGAATCCCAAATGGCATACCATGGCAACAATTTAAAAATTTTGTTACCTCATTCGGACACTAAATCCTGCCTTCTTTTTTACTCTGGGACTGGGGAATTTCTGTGTCCTCTCATCCAGCCCATGGCATCCCTTCTCCTCCCCAATATATCCTCTTTCACCCCCACCCCCAAATCTGGCTACATTTGAAGTGAGCCCATAGGTATCAAGGAAGCCAGGGGTTCATCTGAATCAAACTTCTTATTTGATTTAAACAGGTGGTGAATCCAGGGCAGTAAAGCCAGAAATATTTGTTGGCTGCCTCAGCTCTCTCTCCCTGTGAGCTTCTGAGAAATTGGCACTACTTCTCATGAGAAGTTCATCTGAGGTAACACACGTGAGGTAGCTTACAACGGTCACTTAATGAAAAGAGGTGAATAATCAACATGATCCGGAAATCAGAAGAGAGTACAATAGACCAATGTATTCTGTTAAAAAAGCATGCTCTGACTGGTTTACATAGCAGGTCAAGATTTGGTGAAGACTGTTATATTAAATATAAGACATGGCATTCACAGGAAATTCCGTTGTGCTTACTCATTTGTATTAAAATACCAAATACAGCTACTGAGCATGTCAAGGCACAAGCTGTAAGAGGTGTGTTTGTTACCCAAACACATTGTAAAACAGGGAATAAGGAATGTGTACAAAAACAAGCCTTGAAACTCACCATCATGAAAGTGTTGCACTGAGATAGCCCCCCCTCCATGCTATCTACTAATATTATATGCTAATTTATATTTATCATCCTCTATAAAAGGGAGGACATTTCTCCCTAAAAACGGTAGAAAAATTAAGTCTTCTGCATTTTCTGCTTGGCTATAATATTCAAAAGATACCTATGCTGGCTTTGTTTTAAATAAATTGGTACATGTTCTACATTTCAAAATCCAAAATCCACAGATGGGCAATACTTTTATTAGAACCAACTCCAGCAGTGTGTAAGCTTTTGAGTTTTCTAGAAGTTCTCATTAGTAGTAAAAAAAAAAAAACAAGGAAAGCATGGGAGAACATAAATTTGACTGTATGTTGTTTTTGAATTTCTGTGCTTTCCCCCCTCCCCCCACCTTTTACCACCTAACCTGAAGTCTTTTGCTCTGAAGAATTTAAAAACACCCACACTATTTCAGCATTCTATGGTTGTGGAACTGTAGTTGATCCTAATAAAAGTCTTGCCCGCCAGTGGATTTTGAATTTTGTTTTGCTCTTCTGGATCAATGCTCCTAACTGTTTTCGTTGTTGTGTTTGTGGCTGTGACTATATCTACACATCAGATGATTAATCTCTAATGCACCTCTGTTTGAGAATATTGTTGTTTTCTGCCCCAACAAACAAATACTGAACAAACCCAGAAGTATGAAGGTTTACATACCCATTTATCATCGATGTCTTATTTCGTTTACTGAAAAAGCTGCTGTATGTTCAGAAATGGAGCAGTGATCTCAGGCTTGAAGTAAGCAAGCAGCTGCCTTGTGAGGAATGGTAAGTGATATGAACATGAATGGTTCTTCTCTCTCTCTCTCTCTCTGTGTGTGTGTGTGTGTGTGAGAGAGAGAGAGAGAGAGAGAGAGAGAGAGAGAGAGAGAGAGAGAGAGAGAGAGAGAGAGAGAGAGAGAGAGAGAGAGAGAGAGAGAGAGAGAGAGAGAGAGAGCGAGAGAGAGAGAGTTGCTGCTGCTATTTGTGTCCTATACAGGGGAAGAACTGAGATCAGCACCAGCAACACATAAAGCAAACTCCTTTCCCCCATGTATCTCAAGTTTATAAATGAACAACAAGCAGAGCTGGGCAAAGTTTAACTCTCTTTTTTTGGGTGGCAGTTCCTAGAAATGTGCCAGCCATAGACAGACCTGCAACTTAGGAGGTATAGGAATTTGCAGTTCAAAAGTCTGATTTTCTGGATTCTGGAAACATCTGTCACAGCTACAGCCAAACTGCCTTTTCAGGGTTCCTTATATTTCGTAGGTCTCTTAGTACCTGTGGTTTAGGTACTTGGCTGTAGAGCCAGAAGTTAGGAGTTTGATTCCTCACTGTGCCAGCTGAGTAGAGCCAGCCTGGGTGGCCTTGGGCAAGCTGCACAGTCCCAGGATCCCCCCAAAAGTAGAAAATGGTAAACCCCTTCTGAGTACACTCAACTTGGAAAACCCTAAAAATGGTCAAAATTGACTTGATATGATGATGATGAGTGTACTGTGTGTGTATGCATATCTATCTATCTATCTATCTATCTATCTATCTATCTATCTATCTATCTATCTATCTATCTATCTATCTATCTATCTATCTATCTATCTATCTTGACCCGGCGCTCACCATGGAGACCCAGGTGGCGTCCGTGGTCCGTTCCGCTTTTTTCCATCTCAGGCGGATAGCCCAGCTGCGGCCCTACCTTGATGTGGGGTCTCCATACATACATACATACATACATACATACATACATACATACATACATACATACATACATACATACATACATACATACATACATACATACATACATACATACATACATACATGCAGGGACGTGGTGGGTGGCGTCGCTTGTCCCAGCTCCCGCCAACCTAGCTGTTCAAAAGCATGCAAATGTGAGTAGATTAATAGGGACCACCTCGGTGGGAAGGTAACAGCATTCCGTGTCTAAGTCGCACTGGCCATGTGACCACGGAAGATTGTCTTCGGACAAAAGGCTGGCTCTATGGCTTGGAAACGGGGATGAGCACTGCCCCCTAGAGTCGAACATGACTGGACAAAAATTGTCAAGGGGAACCATATACTGTATATATATGCATATATACATACATACACACACATATACAAAATTGTCAAGGGGAACCATATATATATATGCATATATACATACCTACACACACATATAGTGTATATATGTGGGTTTGTGTGTGTGTTTATACACACACACAGTACACACATCATCATCATATGCCATCAAGTCAATTTTGACCCTGATGTGTGTACTGTGCTATAAACAAAGTTTCCTATTATGAAATTTCCATTATGAATTTTCCATTATGGTGCTCAAGTCTTGAAGCACTTTCAGTGGGGTATTTTACACAGGAAGCTGACTTGAAGCAATCCATTTCCAGAGCAATGAGAAGAGTCAAGGCTAAAGCTAAAAGTGAGCAGAAGACCTGGCAGAAAAGAATTCATTCATGAGCCAAAGGTTCAGAGTCAAAGTAGCAAGACTGTAGACAGAGTTCAGCAGCTGGGCAGTCCCTTGACACAATAAGTCAGGGATCACAGAGTATGATTGCTTGAGAGTGTTAATGTCCAGATTTCAAAGCTGTGATATGGAACTAAAGACACTTAGAAATTAATGTGATTTAAACTGTAATCATATATAAACCTTCTGGGGAGAAATCCTATTTAACACAATGGAACCTGCTGTTTTGCTCAGCAGGCACACGAGCACTGCGCTGTCAACTTAATGTGAGTAGAACATCCCTCAAGACCTCATTGCTCAGACCTCAGAAAAGTTACATTTTTGGAATATAGCACTCATAACCCATCTCTCTCTCTCTCTCTCTCTCTCTCTCTCTCTCTCTGTGTGTGTGTGTGTGTGTGTGTGGAATGGGTCCTAAATAGGGTTAAATGAGTTGCTAACCACTGCATGAACAGAAAGGCTGGACTATGTTGGAAATCCAGGGCCAGCTTATTAAGCACACTTTGGAGTTTTGGAGGAAATTTTGTCTCTTGTAGATGAATCCCAATTATTGGTAGAAAACTCTGCTCTGCATTCCTGAGAGGAGGAATAACTATTGAGAGGTCCTCTCCTGAGGTCCTTCTTTGCTGCAGCTACACCAGGACTAATGCTCGGCTAAATCAGGGCTGAACTAGATGCTGCAGAGAGCACATCATTAGAAGCAATAACTTCTTAAATCTCAAAAGCCATCTGTCCACAACTTTTTCTCAGCTCCCAAAGCTTGTCAATTAGCTTGCTTTGTTTTGTGATTGGTCATCAGGAATTAAACAGTGGCTTAGTTTAAGGTTCATGGAGTGCTAACATGTTTTCTTCTTCTAATGGTGTACTTATAGTGTACAGTCTCCTTAGCTTTGGACTTCCTTATTTGGCTCATGGACCTTAGGGTCTCAATAGCAGAGTGATCAGTTCAAGATCAACAGCACAAAAACAAGTGTATAAACAACAAGCAAGCATGGCATCATCAGACACTCCTGCTGTGTTCCTGGAAGTTCACCTACCCTACTATCCTGTTACCACTCATCGACATCACCTTTTCGCCTATGCATGAAATACACCATCCAATATGTGGTGACTGCGAAAATCTCATGATGACACCATCTGTTTGGGCCACAAAAGTGCCTCTTGAGTGCAAAATTGCTTTCTTTAGAGATCTCCCAAGAGCCTTTGATCTTAAGCCATGCATGTAGAACTTGGAAACTTTACAGAATGTGCCAATGGCTTCATATAGACGCTAACAGCACTGCACCCCACATGATTATATTGGTTCCTGCTGGAAAAGGAAGGAGCTAGCCAAACAAGTTATAATGGCAGGCACAAATGGCAAACTCACAGAACGGCAAACTGTGAAGCAGCAGGAGAGACGTTGATGCTAGACGAAAACAGCTGTGAGGACCGGATTCCTTGTGAAGTGATTCATATAACTACCATAAGGGATATGAAACATTCTGGAAGGCCCCAACAGCAGCCATATTCAGGTGCCAGTAACCATGTCACCCACACTCCCAGTCATTGCATGATTTCCGAGGCCAGAAAAGTTACTTTCTGGATTACAGGTATGAGAATTCCCCAGACAAAATCCATTACTGCCCAGAATCCCCCAGCTATGCAACATTATTCCCTATGGATGGAGGGGCACAGTGCCCCCTCCTACAGGGATGGGAAACCTGATAAAGATGCTCCCCTGCCCTTTACCTATATTCCTACTTTGTTCGCTTTGTCCTTGCAGCAACTCTCTGAAGGGAGTTTAATGGACTGCTACAGCCTGGAGACTCATCTCTGCAATCCTTCTCCAACAGTCTGACCATTCCCACCATACCAGCTCTCACTGCCAGAGAGTGGCCGTCGCTGTTGTGCTCATTGAGGTGCGTATCACTCCCAGGTGCATAAAACATCTCAGCACAGAAGAAATGCTATTTGAATCTCTTCTCTGACTAATTGTAGCAACACTCCGTAAAACAATAATGAACTTACCAAAGCCCGCTGATCAGATGTCTTTACCTCCTGGTTTGAATGGATTCAAAGACTAGTCTGAGGCAAGGTATAACACAGCCCAAGAAACTGAACAAGAAAATAACTTAGGCCAAGTGTTCTGTGAGCAGCAGCAGCTTAAGAAGTTAATGAATGTTGGAAAACTATGAGGCAGTCAAAACAAGGAACAAAGGGGTCAAGGAATGATTCTCTATTCCTAAAGTCAAAGAGCAGCTAGAAGGAGCTTACAGGACACAGCGCAGCCATGGGGACATGGCTCAAGCTAGCCAAGCCCTGCCTCCTTGTTATTTTTTTCAAGCATCATGGTTATTTTTCCAACATTTTTAACTTCACCCCTACTTCCATGTGACTTCCACGTGAATTCCAGCTGCTGGGTTTATAATCATACCAGCACTTACCAGGTACAGGAAGAATAAGAGAGAGAGAGGTTTCAGTTATTGCCCACTTCATTTTTTGTCCCTTTTAAGAACAAGAGCTTTACAAAATTAGCAGAAATAACTTGAAATTGAAGCTGAAAGAGAAAACAAAATTGCCAGATTTCCTATCATGGCAGTGGGCTTTGAATGCTCAGCTCCTGATAAATTTATATCAACAACAACCATCTTAGATCTGCAGAGCAGGAAGGGACCCTAAACAGATCATAGAGCTCCTGTCAAAGACGCACGGTGGGGCATTGAGCTTCCAACCTCTGGCTTCACAGTCAGATACCTAAACCAATGAAGAGCAGTTCTAGTTTTGCTGAAATCAGCATGCAACCACATTGGTTGAACTGAGTTGCTACCCACCCTTTTGTCCTGACAGACTCCTCTTTTTCACTGGCAGTATGAGACAGAACATGACTGTTTCCGTGTTGGGATTAGGAAAACTGCCTGCATTTCCCTAATGCATATTTAGGGAAATCACAAGACTAATGTGATTTATTCTTGAGGAAGACCTTTCTAAAATCCACATATCTTCACATAAAAAGAATGGTTGGAAAACTCCTTGAAATTTTTAGAAACTGTATTTCAAAAGAAGGTAACATATTCATCTATCTTAAACCTAGCCTTACGAGAGTCAAAGCAGACATGGAGTCACTGTCCTGGAAATGCATTTACAGTATTTGTTATTTGCTGGCAAGAAAACACATGTCCTGACCTTCTGGTGTTTATACACACACAGTGCAATGGGCTGCATTTAAATTCAATAACATGTGAGAACATTACAATAGATATATAGATATACATGAAGATCAATAATAATGGAGTGATGTTATACATAGCTCAAGAAGTTAATCCTTGTCTCAACAGGAAGGTCTTCACCATGTCACAAAAT